TCTGTTAGTTCAGATAAGATGGCTAAGTGTCTGTTAGTTCAGATAAGATGGCTAGTTCAGTGATGGCTAAGTGTCTGTTAGTTCAGATAAGATGGCTAAGTGTCTGTTAGTTCAGATAAGATGGCTAAGTGTCTGTTAGTTCAGATAAGATGGCTAAGTGTCTGTTAGTTCAGATAAGATGGCTAAGTGTCTGTTAGTTCAGATAAGATGGCTAAGTGTTTGTTAGTTCAGATAAGATGGCTAAGTGTCTGTTAGTTCAGATAAGATGGCTAAGTGTCTGTTAGTTCAGATAAGATGGCTAAGTGTCTGTTAGTTCAGATAAAATGGAAGGAGAAATTCAGAAGTTAGTTTACATTTTAAAAAAAAGAACTTTGGAATTACCTAACAGTTCTCGGAACAATTTTTCAAAGCAAAATGTATGTTGCAACAGAAAGCAGCCGTATGAATTGACAACAATGTTTTTCAAACCTTAAACATGGTGTAAGAACCGATGATTTATTCAATTTGTGCAAGGAAACAGTAATTATGTCCACACATGGTGTGCAAAAATATTGGTTGGTGGGCATTTAATGAACAGCTTGCGACATGCTGATTAATTAATTTTGATTGCCGAAAAAATAATACAGCTGCAGTAAGGAAGGACATAAACGTAACAGTAAGTTAAAAAAACAGTTAAGACTGAGTTTGATCATTAAAACAAAGAGTAAGGGTAATTACAAAGAAAATAGATCCTGTAAAATGCAACATCAAAGCAAAAGAAAAGGATAACCATCATGCAAGTGTGGTTCGTTTACATACATGGGTACCGTGATAACATCAGATGGAAGATTTTATTAAGGACGTTAAATATATATTAGCTGAAGCAAAGGTGGTATTTTACAAAATGAATAATATACTTTCTATGCAGTTTTTTTTTTTTTTTTTTTGGTTGTTTTGTGTGTGTGTGTGTGTGTGTGTGTGTGTGTGTGTGTGTGTGTGTGTGTGTTAATTCAGATGTAAAATAGAGTTCTTAAAAGCTGATTAAACCCTATCCTGAAATGCAGAAGTGAATCGTGGACAATAAAACAATTAGTAAAAACTCTTTTTAGAAGCGGCGGAGATGTGGTTCTGTAAAAGAGCGATGAGAATACAGCGAAGAGAAGTGAAGATGTCTTGAAAAAACTGACTCAGGAAGAGAACGGATTTCCCACATCAGGAGGGGATAATTAAATGTCTTGGTCATGTCATGAGAAGGAGACAATCGGAGTATTTCCTAGCGCTGGACAGTTGGAATGGAAGCGCTGCAGAGGGAGACTGAGAGAACCTATGCTGGACTGTTGGAATTGAAGCGCAGCAGAGGTAGACCGTCAGTTACGGTCTCTAATAAGTACCAGGTGTTGCAGCAGTTAGCTGAAGATGTCAACACAGAAGTCTGCTGGGATCAGATCAAAGGAATCTGGAATGAATCTTGCGTAGAAGTTCTTGGCAAGAAAGAAAGAAAACATAAAGCATGGATAACACCAGAAACCATTAAACTGATTGAAGATAGGAATAGTAAAAAGGCAGAATTAAACAATAGCAAAACTAGAACTGCTAAAGCTAGAGCTCAGGAGAATTACACAGAAGCCAACAAGGAAGTTAGGAGGCATATAAGGGCAGATAAAGTGAAATATCTAAATGATCTAGCACAAGAAGCGGAGACAGCAGCAGCAAAAGGAAACCTCAGAGAACTTTACAGTAACACAAGAAAGTTAGTAGGTAAATATAGTCAGCCAACTGGATCAATCAAAAATAGTCAAGGAAAGGTACTTACTAACACTAAAGATGAAATGGACAGATGGGTTGAATATTTTGAAATGCTTCTAAATAGACCAGGCCTAGAGGTTCCCCCAGATATCCAGCCTTTAGAAATGATACTGGATATCAACTGTGAGATACCATCCAAAGAGGAAATTAGAAAAGCTATAAATCTTCTTAAGGAAGGAAAGGCGTCACGCCCAGATGGTATCCCAGCTGAAGCCATCACGACCAACATAAACACATCAACAGAATTGCTACATAGATTATTCAGTAAAGTCTGGGAGACCGAAGAAATACCAGCAGACTGGAGAGAAGGATATCTTGTGAAACTGCCCAAAAAAGGTGATCTACAGGAGTGTGAAAACTATAGAGGAATTATGTTGCTGTCATTTCCTGGAAAAATATTAAGTAGAATTATTTTGGAAAGATTAAAAGATGCTATTGATAAAATGCTAAGAGATGAGCAGGCAGGTTTTCGGTCAAACAGATCCTGTACTGATCAGATAGCCACATTACGTATAATAGAGCAAAGCATTGAACTGAACTCACCACTTTACATTGGATTTATAGACTATGAAAAAGCATTTGACAGCATTGATAGGGAATCTCTCTGGAAATTGATGAGGCACTATGGAATCCCACAGAAAATTATCAACTTAGTAAAGGCAACATATAAAGACATGAAATGTCGAGTTCTTCATGAGGGAAAGCTAACAGATGCATTTGAAATAAAAACAGGTGTGTGACAGGGATGTCTTTTGTCGCCTCTCTTATTTTTACTGGCTATAGACTAGACTATGAAAACAGTAACTGCTAACACCAAGAATGGAATTCAGTGGACCCCTACAAAACAGCTTGATGATCTGGACTTCGCTGATGATATTGCTCTTCTGTCCCATTCACGGAATCAGATACAAGATAAATTAAATATACTTTATGCGAGATCACAGCAGCTTGGTCTGAAAATCCATAAAGGAAAGACACAGATAATGAGAATAAATCAGGCAAATAGTAATGTGGTTTCTCTTAATGGCACCCCACTCCAAGACGTGGAGTCGTACACCTATTTAGGCAGTAATGTAGATAAAGATGGAGGAACTGATAGAGATATTAAAATAATAATACAAAAGGCAAGAGGGGCTTTCATAGCACTAGGGAATTTGTGGAGGTCAAAAGAAATTAAAAGAAATACTAAACTAAAAATTTTCAATTCTAATGTCAAATCAGTACTATTGTATGGGGTGGAAACATGGAGAACAACTAAGGCAATTACTAATAAATTACAGACATTTATTAACTGGTGCCTGCGCAGAATAGAGGGAATAAAATGGTATGATAGAATAACTAATGTAGAACTTTGGGAGAGAACTAAACAGGCTCCAGTGGATCAGGAGGTGAGGAAAAGACGCTGGCGTTGGATAGGGCACACACTGAGAAAACAGGAGAACAGCATAACTAGAATGTCTTTGCATTGGAACCCACAGGGGCATAGGAATAAAGGAAGGCCAAAAAACACACGGAGAAGAGAGCTGGAGAATGAGGTTAGAAAGATTGGGAGGACATGGGGAGAGCTCCATGCAATGGCGAAGGATAAAACGACTTGGCGTGAGTTGGTTGAGGGCCTATGCTCCATTGGGGGATAGAAAGGCAGAAGAAGAAGAGGTAGACCGAGAGAACAGATGCTGGACAGTTGGAATGAAAGTGCAGCAGAGAGAGACTGAGAGAACAGATGCTGGACAGTTGGAATGGAAGTGCAGCAGAGGGAGACCGAGAGAACAAATGCTGGACAGTTTGACGTCTTTATGGCATGAAATATTGTCAGACCACAGCGCCGAACGGCTTGGATTCTAAGAAGAAGAACTTAGTTCAGATGTTGCGTCAGTAGGTTCAGATACGAAGATTTAGAAGTAGCTAACTGAGTTCGGATACAATGTTGATGTTTGAAAAACGCTTAAGTTAATTCAGGTACAGCGTTTTAGAAATATCTTAAAAACTTCACATATGATGTTTTGGAAGTATGTACGTTAGTTCAGCTATGATTTTTTTTAAAATGAAATAAGACAGTACCTAGCCTGTCTAAGTATTGCTTATGTGCTCATTCTAATACGTTGTACTCGTTTTAGTTGGTCTACATTTTGTTAAGACATTTCTTTATATTGACGTTTTAGTTACACCCCCCCCCCCCCTGTTTTGTTCTCTTTTCCTGATCTTCCATTGCCCTGTGGTCATTATATTTCGTTAGTGCGGCTTTCTAAGGCAGTTTGTGCAGGACATTCTGGTCAGATGGCCAGTACATCTCATCTATTGCTCCTTATTGAAATATATGACTGGTTTCAATCGTAGTCTCATAATTTCTTTGTTTCAACGTTTCTATCTGCTTGTTACTTCAGCAACACTTTGATGACATCTCGGTATTTATGATTTGGTTTCTTGTATTGGTTGTACCTAGGGTGCGTTTTCTTTGTTTGTAGCATAATGTTGGGCAAACATAATTCTTGTGAGATTTAACTTGGTAGACAAACATCTTGTAATGTTCCAGCAGTTCTGTTTGTTGTCCAAATATCTGATCTGCTTTTGCACATCATATGATGATTTCTTCAACCATTCTTCTCTTAGGTGACATTTGAGTAAAGCTATTAAAATGTACTTGTTTGTTAGTTTGATCTCTGTGTTTATTATTTCTTGTTGTCAATCTTATCACCAGTGTTTCTGTCTTTTCAACGCTTCATTTCATTTATCTCCCACATTTGGCATCGACGTGGCTGACCGAACTGATAAGAATGCGGGCCTCTCGTGTGAGAGAGAAGATTTAAAATCCTGGATAAGGTTAGGGTTTTAGTGTGTGTGTCGGGAGGGGGTGAGTGCAAACATAAAATCTTAAACAGCACAGTCTATGGCGACAGCACTAGCCGTGCTGCCCTAATACGTCATGTGGAAAAGCCGCCTTGCCTACACCACGAAGGTTGTAATAACAGGTAGTAATGGCCACATAGTAATGGTGAGACTGAGCTGCAACGGACTATCGTTTTTTCCTGATATTTATATTGTATCGCCCCACACACACACACAAAACGTTTGAACAAGCAATGTCTTCTCCTCTCTCTTTGTTGATACAGAATCAGTTCTTTTATAACGATTGTTTTGTAACGATTACCGCCCGAATAATCAAATAGTTATGTTTTTTCAACATTTATAATTTGTATATCTTTCTCATCTGACAGGTCTTGGACAGATTTCCGGAGACTTTTTCTGGCAAACCGGACAAGCAGCGGTTACGGAAACTGGCCGAGCAGAGATTTGGCATTAAGTGAGGTTTTGGTATAAATGATAGCCAGTGCAAATTTCTGCCATGTCTACGTGTAGACAATAACCTAATCTGACCACAATATTATATTTCGTATTTATCATTATCAACCAGTTTTAGATATTTAATAAAAAATGATTTATTATATTTGTGCATGTGTTAAGATAATTTGTTTTCGTCCTTAAGATATTCAGACAAAGTGTTTGATTCATTGAAGTTTATGTTTAGATCATTTTTGAAGGCGTCTACTGTCTCTTCTGGAACCCAGCAAAAAAATCATATGTGGCCGCATTTGACCAAATTTCCTTTCCTGGCCGGTAACTACTAACCCCTTTTAATGAGCTTCTTTCTTTCAACAACAACAAGAAAAATTAAAAAAAAAACATATTTTGTTGAGTGATAACCCTACACCCGCCGAGTCTTTAATGATCTGTGCCTAGTTTTGGGAGTGTGGCTAAATAGCTGTGCACCCAGAAGTGAGCTACTGATGCAGTTCTTATTCTCTGATTGAGGGATTCATGAAGGAATAAAGAATTGACATGACTGCAGTGGGGATATTCCCATACGTGCCCCGTCCCTTTCTTCAGTAACTAACCAAGAGTTGACATGCTAACATTACCAGGTGCGACCTGATTGAAAGTCCGCGTGTGTTACCACTTCAGTGTTGATATGCCCCTGAACCTCTACTCAACCCCTACCCCTACCCCACTGAATTCGTCTTTCAAAGTATGGATTCCCTAACTATTCTTTTCCACTGTACATGCGATCCTACAGAGCCTTCATCACATCCGCTCCATTATATAGTAGCTTACCGCCCAGATGTATGGCAGCAGCTAGTCTATCAGCCTGCTCGTTACCGGCACACTTAAATATCCTAGACTTAAATATTGATCTGGCTCTTATTAAGGGATGCTCGCCATTCTGCGCACAGGTCAGCAGTCTTCACATTTCCAGAGCACACTCGGTGACTCTGTTACAACCACACCATGTCAGGCTGTGCTGTTCTCAAGCTATCTGAAAGCTACCATCCATTTCCATTCTCAAACTTGATAGTAGTGATATTGTGCGTGAGGCTCACTGTTCTAGCAGTGTCCATTCACCTTTGCAATAAACCTTCACTGTCTCTCACTTCAGACCTATCTGTGCATAGTATTCGTTCCCCAACGTGTGGATTGTCATTGAAAAGCTCCTGCACTACAAACTGTTTCACCATCTTTCCATTCCAGCCACCCTTGGTCCAGGCTATCATGTAGTATTAGTTCACCAGCGTGTGGATTGTCATTGAAAAGCTCCTGCACTACAGACTGTTTCACCATCTGTCCATTCCAGCCACCCTTGGTCCAGGCTATCATGTAGTATTAGTTCACCAGCGTGTGGATTTTCATTGAAAAGCTCCTGCACTACAGACTGTTTCACCATCTTTCCATTCCAGCCACCCTTGGTCCAGGCTATCATGTAGTATTAGTTCACCAGCGTGTGGATTGTCATTGAAAAGCTCCTGCACTACAAACTGTTTCACCATCTTTCCATTCCAGCCACCCTTGGTCCAGGCTATCATGTAGTATTAGTTCACCAGCGTGTGGATTGTCATTGAAAAGCTCCTGCACTACAAACTGTTTCACCATCTTTCCATTCCAGCCACCCTTGGTCCAGGCTATCATGTAGTATTAGTTCACCAGCGTGTGGATTTTCATTGAAAAGCTCCTGCACTACAAACTGTTTCACCAACTTTCCATTCCAGCCACCCTTGGTCCAGGCTATCATGTAGTATTAGTTCACCAGCGTGTGGATTTTCATTGAAAAGCTCCTGCACTACAGACTGTTTCACCATCTTTCCATTCCAGCCACCCTTGGTCCAGGCTATCATGCAGTATTAGTTCACCAGCGTGTGGATTGTCATTGAAAAGCTCCTGCACTACAAACTGTTTCACCATCTTTCCATTCCAGCCACCCTTGGTCCAGGCTATCATGTAGTATTAGTTCACCAGCGTGTGGATTTTCATTGAAAAGCTCCTGCACTACAGACTGTTTCACCATCTTTCCATTCCAGCCACCCTTGGTCCAGGCTATCATGTAGTATTAGTTCACCAGCGTGTGGATTTTCATTGAAAAGCTCCTGCACTACAAACTGTTTCACCATCTTTCCATTCCAGCCACCCTTGGTCCAGGCTATCATGTAGTATTAGTTCACCAACGTGTGGATTGTCCTTAAAAGGCTCCTGCACTACAAACTGTTTCACCATCTTTCCATTCCAGCCACCCTTGGTCCAGGCTATCATGTAGTATTAGTTCACCAGCGTGTGGATTGTCATTGAAAGGCTCCTGCACTACAAACTGTTTCACCATCTTTCCATTCCAGCCACCCTTGGTCCAGGCTATCATGTAGTATTAGTTCACCAGCGTGTGGATTGTCCTTAAAAGGCTCCTGCACTACAAACTGTTTCACCATCTTTCCATTCCAGCCACCCTTGGTCCAGGCTATCATGTAGTATTAGTTCACCAGCGTGTGGATTGTCATTGAAAAGCTCCTGCACTACAAACTGTTTCACCATCTTTCCATTCCAGCCACCCTTGGTCCAGGCTATCATGTAGTATTAGTTCACCAGCGTGTGGATTGTCATTGAAAAGCTCCTGCACTACAGACTGTTTCACCATCTTTCCATTCCAGCCACCCTTGGTCCAGGCTATCCTGTAGTATTAGTTCACCAGCGTGTGGATTTTCATTGAAAAGCTCCTGCACTACAGACTGTTTCACCATCTTTCCATTCCAGCCACCCTTGGTCCAGGCTATCATGTAGTATTAGTTCACCAGCGTGTGGATTGTCATTGAAAAGCTCCTGCACTACAAACTGTTTCACCATCTTTCCATTCCAGCCACCCTTGGTCCAGGCTATCATGTAGTATTAGTTCACCAGCGTGTGGATTGTCATTGAAAAGCTCCTGCACTACAAACTGTTTCACCATCTTTCCATTCAGCCACCCTTGGTCCAGGCTATCATGTAGTATTAGTTCACCAGCGTGTGGATTTTCATTGAAAAGCTCCTGCACTACAAACTGTTTCACCATCTTTCCATTCCAGCCACCCTTGGTCCAGGCTATCATGTAGTATTAGTTCACCAGCGTGTGGATTTTCATTGAAAAGCTCCTGCACTACAGACTGTTTCACCATCTTTCCATTCCAGCCACCCTTGGTCCAGGCTATCATGTAGTATTAGTTCACCAGCGTGTGGATTGTCATTGAAAAGCTCCTGCACTACAAACTGTTTCACCATCTTTCCATTCCAGCCACCCTTGGTCCAGGCTATCATGTAGTATTAGTTCACCAGCGTGTGGATTGTCATTGAAAAGCTCCTGCACTACAAACTGTTTCACCATCTTTCCATTCCAGCCACCCTTGGTCCAGGCTATCATGTAGTATTAGTTCACCAGCGTGTGGATTGTCATTGAAAAGCTCCTGCACTACAAACTGTTTCACCATCTTTCCATTCCAGCCACCCTTGGTCCAGGCTATCATGTAGTATTAGTTCACCAGCGTGTGGATTGTCATTGAAAGGCTCCTGCACTACAAACTGTTTCACCATCTTTCCATTCCAGCCACCCTTGGTCCAGGCTATCATGTAGTATTAGTTCACCAGCGTGTGGATTGTCCTTAAAAGGCTCCTGCACTACAAACTGTTTCACCATCTTTCCATTCCAGCCACCCTTGGTCCAGGCTATCATGTAGTATTAGTTCACCAGCGTGTGGATTGTCATTGAAAGGCTCCTGCACTACAAACTGTTTCACCATCTTTCCATTCCAGCCACCCTTGGTCCAGGCTATCATGTAGTATTAGTTCACCAGCGTGTGGATTGTCATTGAAAAGCTCCAGCACTACAAACTGTTTCACCATCTTTCCATTCCAGCCACCCTTGGTCCAGTCTATCATGTAGTATTAGTTCACCAGCGTGTGGATTTTCATTGAAAAGCTCCTGCACTACAAACTGTTTCACCATCTTTCCATTCCAGCCACCCTTGGTCCAGGCTATCATGATGTGCAAGAGAATTTTGCTGAGCAGCACTGTAACCCATTCTTCACTGTACACAATCTTGTCGGCAGGACACACAGTTCTGATCTTGATTTACTCATGTGTCATCCAAGGGTGTTGCGACTGTAAGGTATATTTCAGTCTGTGGAACCCTTGTATCGCTCAGAAACATATTGTAATGCAAGTATGTGTTGCATGCACACAATGTGCATGTCTGTACCCCGAAATGACTTGCATGGCTTCATTATGTTTGCGTTCCAGCATGAAATAATGGGCATGAAATAATGTTAGAAGTATCAAACCAAACCCAGTCACCGAAATAATAACATTAGACAAGCGATAAACACCCGATGGCACAAAGTGCCACCATATGGATGATTATAACCTGTGGAGAGATCCCAGAAACCTCGTTCAGCCAATAGGACGGGCTATAGTGTCAGGGTAGAGCTTCAAAATAACAAAAAGTTGCATCCCACAGGGGAATAACTTAGGTACTGAAATAATGAGTTGGTGGTTGATTGTATAACACAAAAGAAGTACATGCAAACGAAGGCTCACAAACAAGACAAAACATTTAACAGCAAATGACTGTATTAGAGGGAACTTGACTTAGCAACATGAAATAAAATCTCGGGCAGTAAAGTCGAACTTATTTGTATTGTCTGTGATCAACTTGTACCCGTGTTTGCTATGGGACGAAAGTGATACTGGAGAGTTGGGATCGTCGGCAATCTGTAGAATAACAAAACAGTGTTTCATATTGTGCACGGCTACATAGCCGTTCTTCTCATTAGCTTTGCTGCTTAGCCATGAGTATGGCGGCTTATAAGGCTTCCCTGCCGGCAAATATTGGGAAACTTTCCAGTTCTTAACAAACAAAATGTATTATTTATGATGATCGGCCAAAGTGTTTTGTAATAGCCCTTACTAAACTGTCCATAAATTCTAAATTTGAAATAATTTTACTAAATACAGTCTCCA